GGGCCGGGAGCGGGGCCGGGAGCGGGGCCGGGAGCGGGGCCGGGAGCGGGGCCGGGAGCGGGGCCGGGAGCGGGGCCGGGAGCGGGGCCCCTCACGTTAAACTCACCGCCCCGGCTGCTCTCTCACGGTCAGGCAGCGGACGCTCCCGTTGCCCTCGCGAACGGTCCGTCCGTCCCGCAGCCCCGCCGGGCCCGAGCGGTAAATGCGACCACCGAGTCCCAGGGCTTGTGTTTGAACCCCCAGGTGGCCTCAGCTAATCTTAACTGTGGCATCTTCCCGTGTCCATGTCCTGTGGGGAAAGGGCAAAGGGGAGTAAGCAGCACCTGTGTCCATCTGTCCTATTTTGATACAGTCTCTGTTATATTTCCTTTATCGATCATCTCAGTTATTAGCCATAGAATCACAGAATACCCTGAGCTGGGAAGGACCTACAAGGATCGTCGAAGTCCAACTCCTGGCCCTGCACAGGACAACCCCAAGAATCCCATTATGTGCCTGAGAGCATTTTTTTCCAAACACTTCTTGAAGACTGTCAGGCCTTGGGGCCGTAACCGCTGTCCTGGGGGGCCTGTTCCAGCATCCAACCACCCTCTGGATGAAGAACCTTTTCCTAATATACAAGCTAGACCTCCTCTGATACAGCTTCATGCCCATCATGTCACTGGTCACCAGAGAGGAGATCAGTGCTGCCCCTCCACTTCCCCTCGAGAGGAAGCTGTAGACCCCAATGAGGTCTCCCCTCAGTCTCCTCAGCTGGCCCAGACTTTTCAGTCTCTCCTCACACCAAAGTCTTTCCTTGGATACAACTGATGGATAATAAACCCCCACATTGTTATATGAAGAGTCCATCATATGTAAACCAGTCCCACCAGTGCTGGGCATCACGGTGAGGAACCTCAGCCCTACTGCCCCCAACATGCACTGCTGGGCCCTACATATCCCACAGGACCTGCTCAGATGTGCAGCCCTTCCTTTCCTGCATTTACTCAAGCAATATTCATTGCACCTCTACCACAAATTAAACACCATTTGAAGCGTAATGCTATCTACTCCTTCTATTTAAAGAGGAAAAATCACTCTGATTATGCCCCTTGCTTGCAGCTTCTGTTTGCTTGCTCCAGCATTCATCTGCAGCTCAGTGTTTACATAGGATACACAACCTGTAAGTCCAAGATTTGATTATACAGAAAGATGTTCCAGGAACGTTACACATAAATACATGGCCTCAGTGTAGTCTGATTCATCCAGACTAATTTTTTCAGACTTCTGACCTCACATCATTTGCCCAAGAATGTTCTCATTTGTCCAAGTACACCAACTCTGACAGCAACAAGTCCTCACCCCATAACTATGTGTCCTCCTGCTGGCATCTGGCTCAAGGAGTCTCTGACAATTATGAAGAATAAGAGTTGGAGCTTTTCTGAGCTTGCAAGGAGAAGATACATGGTCCCTACTGGAAAACCCTGAAAACTGTGTAGTACTTCTGAAATCATGCTCGAAAATAGATCTTCTGACTCACTAAATACTGAGTCACTGACCTGGCTCCACAGGATGAACCACAATCCTGCACTGTCCAGACCTCCATTGTTGGCTCAACACACCACTCAACATCAGCCACTCAACATCAGCAACCACATCCAGCCAGAAACTCACTGCCCAAAAGCCTCAGGATCTGCAGAGTGCAGTCTTCTCCCTTATACCAGGTGAATCATGGCTATGGATGGTGTTGTGCTTTCTCCCATCCTCCATTCATCGAGAACAGTGTACTGTCCTGGCAGAAGTGCCAAATTTGGCACTAGGTTAACAGAAGAAATTCAAGTAGCACTGACACATTTCCACAGCATAATAATCAATAGTGATTGCGTATCTCAACCACCTTGTAAACAAGCAGCAATGAACATGCAGTTTGACATGAGCATGACAACAAAGTTTTAATGTCTCTGGGTTATTTCTTGCTTTTTAGTCAATATATGTTGATATAACCCACCTCTGCTGCACTTATCTACCAGTATGGCACATCCATCTAGC